GCGGCTTGCATGGCTTCATAAGCAGGAGAAACAATGGGCCGAGGCAGCCTCAGTATACCGAGAAGCTATCCATGCCTTGGAGACACACGAGTTCCAAGATTATCGTGAACTCAGACGCATCAAGGGATATCTCGCCAAGTGTCTCATTGACGAAGCAAAAGCCGGCCAATCCGGGCCAGGTACTGAAGAAGAAGTCGAGTCAGTCGCTCGCAGTAGAGCCAAAGAGTCCATCTCTTTACTGCTCGACATGCTGGAATCTTTTGGGTCAAGGAAGGTTACGCCGGCGGAAATAGGGCAGATAATAGAAGATCTGACGTGGGCATACCGTACACTCAAACTCGAAGATCCGACCGAAGAAGCCTACAAAAAGGCCGCCCAACTACTTGGAACGTCGCAGGCCAACGAGAAGCTCGCAGATCTCTACGTGCGTCGCGGTAGGCTTGCCGAAGCAATTCCCTTTCTGTCGTGCAGTCTACAGGATCGAATATGGCAACGTGCGAAGAACGACGACAACAAGAACCATGATGACCGTATCATAGCTGTCGCCCATAAATTAGTCTGGGTTTACAGTAGGCTCTCCCGTCTGGACGAAGCAACTGCCGTATGCCACCAGGTGATATTGGTGAATGGGTGCCTACGAACACGGCAACGCCTCGGACAAATTTTACTCAATACAAAGAAATGGCGCGAGGCTATTTCTGTTCTAATAGATCTTTTTCAGGTCACAAAAAACGTACCAGAGCGTACATTCGAGGCTCGTGACGCAATTAGGGACCTTGCCTACGCATGCCTAAAGTTGAGTCAGACTGAAGAGGAGGGAGGTAAGGATAAGGAGACTCTGAACTCATCGTACACGCCGTCAATGAGGCTTGTTGAAGATAAGCTCAATGGTGACCGTGCGGCGACACTTCAGTTCAGGGAAGCGGTTGCACACGGTTATCTCACTCGGTGGGACGCCGTTAAGGCAGCCACAGTCTTCGTCGACGTCCTTGATGAGTGCGGAAAGCAAACTGGACACAGGAAGAAAGATTGGGACACTCGTTACGAAATGCAAGAGCTGCAAATGGCTCAAGATATGTACGAAGCCGCCATTGGCAGGCCTGGCGTTGACGCGCCTATCCTCTGGTCCAAAAGAAGGCTTGCCAATATCTACCACGAGCAGGGAAAAACCAAAGAGGCAGCCAAACTGCGCGACGATGTTTTTCAGCATACGGAGACACGAGAAGATTGTCAGCACTCTCCGGCTCTATCCGCTATTCGTCGTTCTTTGGGCGCGGACTACTACATCTGCGGTGAGTGGGAAAGAGCCGAGATTATATTCCGTTGGATGCTCGAGGCAGAAGAGACGTCAAAGGAAGCCGGTGATCTGGGGATATTAATATTACAGAGCCAACTGGCTCGTATACTCCGTGCGACCGGCCGTCATGATGGGGCTATCGCTCTTCTGGTGCATGTGGTTGCACAACTTGAACGTGAGCATCCAACCGCTCGTGACACCCTGCGGATCGCACGGTTGCGTCTTTCCTCGACTTTCATGGACATCGGTCTATGCGAGCACTCTGCTGCGGTTCTCGAAAAGGTCCTAGCAACAGACGAGGCGATCCTGGGCGCTCAGGACGAGACGACGGTGGATACAATGAGACACCTCGCAAAAAGCTATTACAGAGGAGCTAATAAAGACAAGGCTGAATGTTTCCTCCAAGATAGTCTAGCAACTAGAATTGCTACCCTAGGGCCGAGTCATAAGGCTACTCTTGCGGCACACTTAGCCCTAGCGGAGCTGTATTTTGCGGAGGGCAGAGACTATGAGGCGGCGTCGATGTATGCCGTTCTGAAGCCGGAGCAAATGAAGGTCGGTCGTTTTCAGAGCGATCTGACCATACGCTCAATATCCAACTTGTCGGGGCTTCTGCTTGATGACTCATTACCAGAGGATATGCGACTGAAGTTAGTGTCTTTCACAGAAGAGCTGCTCCAGCAACTGCGCTATGGACTTCCAGCGGATCACCCTGTGGCGCTAGACATATCACAATCTATCTGCGAGTATTACCGTGAGCATCGCAAGCTTGAAAGCTTGACAAATATGGTACTCATGGTTCTGGCGTGGCGTGAGAAAGACCTGGGTCAAAGCCATCCACTGACCATGAGGTCACTGAAACAGGCCGGATGGTCACTCGCGCGGGCCGGCGAGCACGAAGGCGCTAGAGAGCTTTACAAGCGTCTGGTACAAGTCAGCACTGATTTACTTGGGGCAAATCACAGGGATACAATCACCGCGGCTAAACTCTTGGAGAGGGTCGAGGTAGGCCGTCTGGATGACAATCATGGTTTCCACCCGTTTATGCCCCTTCCGGTAAAATACAAGCGGTTCCGGGTTGAGGAGGGGGAAGAGTCAGAGCAGGTGGACATCTCAAACCCGAGTGAAGACAGAGAGACCGCCTTAAATCAAGCAGAGCTCCAAGCCCAGCGGGCCCTGTATCGCAAGGAGAGTCAGCTGGGAGCACTGCATCCGGAGACATTAACGATCGCATATCAGTTAGGAGTGCTATACCACTCACACGGCAAGGCAGACGAAGCAGAGGCTATGTACACCCGCGCATTAGAAGGTCGGAGACGTTCGCTGGGCGAAAGAGATCATGCGGTGTTAATGGTGATGAACTCCCTCGCCGAACTGATGACAAGCGTACGGAGCATACAGCGCGCTGAAGAGCTCTATCGCCATATCCTCAGCTGTACCCCAAAGGACCTGGATCTCGAAGACCCCATCGCCCTAGCGGCGACGAATGGACTTTCCCAGGTTATCTCTCGGAATAAGGGACCCGATGCGGAAATATCATTCTACGAGGACTGCGTCCGTTCAAGAAAAGAGCACCTGGGACCAAGACACTACGCTACTCTCGAAATCCTATTCAAGCTAGCAGAGCTTAGCTCCAGTCGAGGACGTTTTGAGAGTGCTCGAGGGCATTTCATAGAGTTGGTGGAAAGCCAGGAGGCGCAGTGGGGTGCTGGACACCCGACAGTGCTAGCTGCAATTCGCCAGCTCAGCTTGTTGTATCGCAAAAACAGCATGGAAGCTGAAGAGGTGGAGCTCTTCGAGAAGGTCTCTTTTGCTCGCGAACAATCTCTTGAAGCCGATCACCCTTACACCCTGGACGCTTACCACCATCTGGGAGTGCTGCTTGCTCGAAGGCATGATGGTTCACGTGCGGAGGCAATGTACCGATGGGCGCTGCGCGGACGAGAACATACATTAGGCATGGATCACCCTAGCACCCTTGAATCTCTTTCCAGGCTTCGATCCCTCTTAGTCGACCTGGGGAACGAAGATGCCATAGACGAACTACTCGGGAAAGTCCGAGAGAAACGACATCATCTGTTAGGTCCGACCCACCCCCTCTCCCTCCAGAACGATCACGAGCTGGCCATCCGACTCGTAAAAACAGACCCCGGAACTGCCCAGTCAATACTACAGCAGACACTGCTTGCCAAAGAGGAAGTCTTAGGGATGGATCACACATCGACACTGGACACCTTACACGTCCTCGAGGGCCTCCTATCTGACCGCGACGAGGATAGAACACTACACGAACAACGACTTGCACTCGCTCGCGAAGAAAAGCTTGGACGAGACCATACTCTCACACGCAGGGCCATGAGAAGAGCCGGTATTGCAGCGTTTCACGCAAACCACAAAAAGGAGGCCGCATCACTCCTAGAACGGTCCTTGAGCGATGATCCCGAGATCCACCATCGCAGCGACGCCTACGACATCTATGCCTTGGCCTGGTGTTACATGAATCTGGGAAAAGTCCCGCAAGCCGGAATCTTACTCTTAAAGGCACTACGAAAATTACCGAGCATCACCGACCCTGGGGTAAAAGCGTACGCAGAAATCCGTCTTCTGATGCGGCTTGCCCAAGTCTATAGGCGGCAGGGAGCTTATGAAGCTATAGTCTCCACATACACAAAGGTTTTGGATGCGTTGGACGACAGACTAGTGGAAGAGGAGAATCCTAACGCTCGGTTAAACGCCCTCCGTGCTCTTTCATCCGTGCACAGATCCCACGGATCGTGGAGCGACGCTATCTGGACGGGCGAACAGGCTCTTCAATTAGCTGAAGATGAGAGGGGGAAAGAGCATCCTGTTACATTGAAACAGCTGGAGATGCTCTGTGAGGTATACGATCTGTCGGGTAATAGGCAGAAATTCAAGGAGCTGCGGCAAGAGTTGGATAGACGGAGACCGGCTCCGAAGAAGCAGTCTTTCTTTAAGCGGTTTTCGCGGACTCAAGACTAAAGGAGGGGTGTGAGAATATGTTTTCAAGATTTAGTCCAGAATTTTCAAGTCCATGCCCTCTCCTTGGTAAATAAGAGAGATTGAGACATGTTATACGGCGTAGACGTCTTATCAGTTCTGCTCTGAGCTTATGTGATAGGGATGGCCTCTTATCAGCTCTCCTGACCTTGATAAAAGCTACTAACTAGTACCCACTGCTACACTTATCCCAACCCAATCACTAGCAACCTAGATGCACGCAAATGGACTCCTCCCCTCGTGTCTCTATCGCCTGCGAGACCTGTCGGAAGCGGAAGCGCAAGGTGAATTTCCACGTACACGTCCATCCCAAACGGCAGTACATGGTAGAAAGTATTAGATGGATAACAAACCACATAGTGCGATAGTCTGCGTCCGGCCTCATGTGGCGCTGCCATGTTGCGATTAACATACTTATCACGGCGGATGATCGGATGATCTGCTTCCGCTGTCTGTACTTTTCTGTCAATCCACAAAGAGATTCATTGCTCTTGAGTCAATTAAGGCTATATAATTGTTGCTCTTTCTTCCAATATGAAACTACTGCATGCACAGCAACGAAAATGCGCCCATCAATCAGCTGGAAGTATCTCAAACTTACCATCTCTTCTACTCACCAGCTAACACTTCTACTACAGTCGATCTCCAAGACTGGGCGTCAGCATACAGCCAATCCGTCGCCGCAATGGCAACCCTGTCGAATACAGACAAGATCCGGCTCATCTCCGGCCAAAGCGTGCCTTCCATCAACTTTGAGCCCTATACAACCAACGACGGCTCCCAAGGGCTAGAGAGCTTCTTCTGCGTGACCTCATTTTCTGAGCCCTCGGCAATGGCCCAGACCTGGGACCCCGAGCTCATCAAAGCCAGCTTCCATGCCATCAGCCAGGAGTTCTACGGCAAAGGCTACACCATGATCAACGGCCCAACGGTTGGCCCACAAGGCCGTACCCCCTGGGGCGGCCGTCTAGTGGAAACCCTAGGCCAGGACGTCTACCTGGCCGGAATCGCATGCGTACACGCTACCGAAGGCATCCGCGAAGCCGGCATCATCCCCTGCGGCAAGCACTTCCTCCTCAACGAGCAAGAGACCAATCGCTCCGAAGTGTACTGGTCCAGCAACGCAGTCACCGTCCCCCTCAACAACGCCGCCTAATCCAGCAACGCCGACGACAAGACCCTACACGAAGCCTACCTCTGGCCCTTCTACGACGGAGTCAAAGCCAGCCTCGGCGCCGTAATGTGCGCCATGAACCGCGTCAACAGGACCTGCGCCTGCGAAACCCCTAACCTGCTCAATAACCTCCTCAAAACCGAACTGGCATTCTCACTCCAGACACCTCGGGCCAACACACAGCCCTAGGCTCTGCCAACGCCGGCATGGACTTCGGCGCTACCTCCTTCTGGAACCCCCAGACCCTCCTCCCAGCCCTCGCCAACGGCTCCCTCCTCCCAAGCCCGCCTCGACGACATGGCCATCCGCAACCTCTCATGTCCTACTCTCAGCTCGGCCTCAATACCAAAATAATTCCCCCCAATTCCCCGGCCACAGCCCCCGTCGACGTCTGCGCCAACCACCGCGCCCTCGTCCGCAAAGCCGGCAGCGCAGCCATCACCCTCCTAAAAAAACACCAACAACACCCTCCATCGGCATCTTCGGCTCTCACGCCCGTCCCACGCTCATCGGCCCCGGCACAACACTGGACGACGTGCACACCCACACCACCTGGCCCGGCCACCTCATCTTCTCCGGCGGCTCCGGCATCAGCAGTCCCTCATACCAAATCACCCCGTACGACGCCCTCCTCTCCAAAGCCCTCCAAGACGGCACCCAACTAATGTGGGCAATGGATGACGACCTCCCCTTTTGGGTTGTAGGGAGGCAGGAGTGGGTGCTTGCTAGGGAGGTGTATCGGTTTTTGGGTTGGGGCTAGTAGTAGGGATTGAGGGGGTGGGTGGAGTTATGTTGTTGCTTAGATTTTGGTAAGGCGTATTACCTGTGCTGCAGGGCACTTCGATTAAGGTACTTGGTAAGGAGAAATGAAGTACTATACACATTCCTATCGTTCAATCATACACCACGTACATGCATACATACATACATATATGAAAACCTACATGAATAGACAAGAAGGACTTATCAAGTCCCCGTCTCCGTCTCGATATCCGGCTCCCGACCCGCCAAATCACCCGTAAACTTCCTCTTCACCTTTCTTAGCGAATACTTAGCCTCATCACGCGCAAACACGGCATTCCGAACAGGTCGCCATTGCATCTTACCGCGATGTTGTCGCTCCTCGCTGCGTTTATTCGCCTTCTTAAGGGACCCGTCATCGATACTGTAGATGCTGGGAGGCCCGGCACTGCTGCTCGCGCCGCCAGTGGAAGTTGTACTTTGTGAGACGCGTTGCTGCTGATGGGGGTAGTGATCGTCGTCGTTGTCGTCCTCGGTTTCGCTGGATGAAGAAGATGCCTCTTTCTCCTCTTGCTCTTGTTCTTGGGAGTTCTGGTGCCGGGCTTCTTCATCGTGCATGGTGCCGTAGGACTGGGCGACGGTGGGAGGTGGGTTCACGGGGTCGTGAGGTGGTGTCTCGCGCCCCGGTTCCGCGACTTGGTGGCCGTGGTTGTTGAGATAGGCGCCTGGGTCATGGCCGAAGGCACCGCTCCAGTCTTGACCTTGCTTGTCAATCCAGCGGCGGCGTTCGCGGGGCTCGGCGTGTTTGAGGATGTCGCGGCCGTCAAGGAGGGATTGTTCATGCAGCCTTTCGAGGTCCTCGGGGATGTCGGAGGAGATGCGGCGTTCGCGAACACCCTGGGCGATGCAGGCTTCCCAGGTTTCAAAGGTCTCGCGGGATTCGTTGTCGACGACGTATTGTTCGTGGGAGTCGTCGATGCCGGGGCTGAAAAAGCCGTGGAATTGCAGGCGGCCAACTTCGTGCAGGTCCTCGAGGCCCGGGCTGCGTTTGATGTGGCAGTTCTGCTCGGTGATGTAGTTTTGGGTGAGTCGTTTGCCGTTCTTGGTAACCCAGATGGGGATGTCGATGGCGGTGTCTTCGTTGTCGGCCATGTGTTGGAGCCAGTAGACGGCATAGGCGGTTGTGTGATGGTGGCCTTGTTGTTGGAATTCGAAGACGACGGGCGATCGGTAGCGGTGCTTGACGGGGAGACGGATGGCGCGTCGGTAGTCCTCGCTGGAGAGGTCGTAGGTCATGTTGGATCCTTCGACATGGCACACATGACGAGTGATCTTGCCACTGCTGCCGCCGGTGCGGAGGCGAATCTTGCAGCGATGGTTGAAGCCCTTTACGGTGACCTTGTCGGAAATGAAATGGAAGGTGCCAACATCCCAGCCAAGCATCTGTGGGGGAAGACGGGTCTCAACGTGCCGGAAGAGAATAGAGATGCGAATGCGTCCAAAGCCGATGCCGCCAGTGAGAGGGTACCATCTGGTCACTTGTGAGCTGTTCTCGAGGAGCTCCGAAATCTTCAGAGGCACCACGCCGAGGATAGGATCGTGCTGGCGATATCGTTGGTCGCGGACGCTAACGGTAACGTAGGCGGACCGCCAGTCTCGGACGAATCGTTCAGTTCCAGCGTTGAAGATAGGCTTGGAGCTTAGGGCTTTTGCACGAGTACGGTAGATCTGCGAGATGTTAGGCTAGTTGTAAATATAAAAGGGGGTATGTGGGATAGCTTACGAGCTCGTCATTGAGAATGATTTTACAGTAGCTCGTAGGCAGGTTCTCTCCAACCTCCTCTTTTTGCTCGCCATACGGTTTGGCTGGCTCATAGTCTCTCCCCTTGCGGTTACCGTGACTGCCTTTGACGTTCTCTATCTCTAGATTCACGATTTGATGGACCACAATGCTCATGATTCCACTCGGCCATAGCGGATCTGGTGGGGTCTTGGTAATGGCGTCCTCTTGATCGGTACTGATGACACCCTTTTCGTCTTGGAACTCAGGAATGTCCTTGAAGTTCTCTGGTAGATCCTTCTTCTTGCCGTCGGTCCTCAGCTCGGCTCTCAGCTTGGGTTTGCCGAAAAACCCGACCTCCCAGTGCAGTTCTCCCGGCATTTCACTGCCCTCGTTGAGGCCCTGGAGCTTGGAAACCTGGGCATACATTTTGCCCGGGTGTTGGATCATTTTGCGTATGGGCAATTCCACTTTGCCGACAATGTCGTCCGCGGTGGTCCGATCCGAGTCCCAAAGTTCGACACTCAAAGCTTCGTCCGCCTTGATCAATTCTGGCGTTACGAGCAACGCCGCGGTTTCTTCCCAGACGGGGTTCAGGTCGTCGGTGATTACTCGGGTACAGTACATGGGCTTGCCATACTTGGAGAAAGAGAGGTTGATGTAGGGGTCACTGCCGCCGCCATAACTTCCACGTCGGTCCTGTTTGCTCAAGCCAATTGCACGATGGATCCGGATCCACATGATGCCCAGTGCCTGGGTCTCTTTGACGATATCGTCACCCTTGAGCATCATGCTAAGATCCATCGTCATTGATTTGGGAGCTGCAAACAGACCGCTGGCCGTAGCAATAGCATAGTTGACGAAGTTGGAGATCAAGGGGAGATTCAGGATGTTTACACCCCAGTTAACCATTGGCATACAACCGGCCCTAATATGGGGGAGTCCAACAAGACTAAACGTCACGTCTTTCATGAACGGGGCCTCTGGCATCATTTGGAACCTGGCGCGGACGGTGCCTACCAGTTCGTTCAACTCCACGAAGACTGGGAATGGAACGCCAAAGAGGCCTTTGATTCCCAGGTAGAAAACGATTTGCATGTGCATGTTGCGCGCCTTGGACGAAGTGGTTTGTCCGCTCGGTTTCGCGTGGTAGGCAAAGGAGGCCTCAATGTTGTAGTAGCTACCGCCCTCCTCAGCAGCTGCCGCCTCCTGAGGGTCTTTGTTCTTCACGTTCTCCTCGTGGATGTGATCCTTGAGTTGCTGGACATGAGAGTCCGGAAGGGACCGCAAGCTCAAGATTCGGATAGGGTTGTTTCCCTGATCAATTTCTGCAATCCGAACGTTCTCCACTACACCAGGCGCAGACGCCTGCATGATGTCTTCGATGGTATCCGCAACGGGTGTCAGCATCTCCGGGTTGATGAGGCCCCAGAAGACCCCGAGGAAAGAGTTTATCCATTCGACCGACTCAGGTAGGAGGTTTGCAGTAGCCTAACAGCGTAACATGTAAGTTTTAGTACCTTAATGGGGAGCGGAAACTTACCATTTGGCCTCTGATTTGCTCACTACTCCATTCCATCTCCCGGCCGCTGCGAATGAGTTCTTGTATCCATAACCACACACCACTTGCAACACCGAATGATAAAGGCAGTAGGCCCCAGAGCGAGCCACCAAACATCCGACCAGTGAAGACAATGGCAGCAACAATTCCTAGGCAGAGGCCGATACCACGGCTCTCCAGCTTATCAAACATGGGTTTATAGGTGACTGTCGGAGTAGGATGGAAGAGGATGTTGGTTTTCTCGCCATGAATAGGAACATCTGACGTAGTGCCTTCTGCGATTGGGTCGGGGGGTGCGGTGATATCTTGGTTTTCTTTATACTGGGAAAGGCTTTGGTTGGGTTCGGTTTTGATGTCCTACGAGATTTCTTAGCTGACGTTCAGTGTTAGATGACTAGACTTATAGACTCACCGTTGGCTTTCCAAGATTAGCATTTGGCACAACCAGCTATGATTATCATCGGTCAGTGGCATGTTCCACCCTTGTCAATGGGGTATGGATACCTTCGGATCCTTCACTGCTTCCATGGAATCCTCGTCGAGGTCCTCCACTTCAATTTCCTTGCCGGTCGTGGGATCGGTCACCATGCGAGTCTTTCCCGTTGTCTTCCGGGGCTTGTGAGCCATTTCCTCTCCCTGTTCCTCCTTCTCCCGCCGCCTGGCCGCCAGGGCTTCCTCATGGGCCTTGCGCTCTTGTTTATCCACCTCTAGACGCTGTAGGAACTTGTCGATGGTCGGGACAGGGTTGGCTCCGCTCCAATGCTCCCCGACGCGGTGAGTCTTGGGTGACTCCCGCCCAGGTTGAGCCTGCGACATGGTTGATAGTGATGGGATGATCAGGTAAACAGGTAAGCAAGAGATATCAGAAGTAAGGTGAGTGAGTTATCATCCCTAGCTCCGTGAAGCCGGGACCGCTGTTGATATGGGAAGAGAGCAGAGATAATGAGAGGGAAGGAGATCTGGTTGTAAGTCTTCTCTCACGCGATGTCAGCCAAGTAAGTGAAGTCAGAGCGAAAGTCAAGGTTGGCCCTGCCAGACTGGACTACGTCATTGTGGAGGAGGCGCTGCCAATGGAGCTCGGACGCGTCCGACCATTCGCTGGCACAGGGCTGGGGGATATCCCGACATCCAGACTGGATCTGATGTCGGTCTATTTACATTCTCCACCGGATGGATCTATAACAAGTCGAGGCTGGTTGTTGAGTGGACTGTTTGGCTGCATCCTCTTGTTCTCCGTCATTCACAGCGGAAATCCGGGGCTTGGCGTGGATGCCGGATGGCGGACTTGAAATTTGATACAACGAAAGATAAGGCTGACCGTGTAATAGCTGACTAGTAGCAATCATCATTGGAAAATCGAGATGCAGTCCTCAATGGCCAATTGAATGGGGGATGGGTGCTGAGGCTTGATGCATAGACAATTTCCCTTCACAGTTGATGGTGGATGATGAGCAGATGTTCGAGGTGGAAAGGGATGATGTCATCAATGATACCAACATCTTGTAAGGCAATCAAAGAAGTCAATTCAGAACCCCTGTATTTCACATGCTGATCATAATAAGAATAGTAATCATAGGGCTTTGTGCTAGCGTGAGTAAGGATCTTCCACCAGATCATGCCATCCCATGAGGCACATGTTGTGATGATTTGTTGGAAGAGGTTAGCCTGCCTTACTAGCCACAAATTTGAGGCACACAACACATGCCACTCGACTGAGTCATGTTTAGGAATCTTCTTGAACAAATTCATAATGTCGCTTCAACATTATGTACTCTGTAAATATCTTTTCAGGTTTCAGTTGCTGAGGATGTGATATCTCCGCCATCACATGACAGCCCAGGCAACTACTGAGATCCCAATCTAGTAATTAACAATCATCGGAAATACATCCTCAGTCCTGGGAATAGCAAACAGCCCCCGTCCATCTCGCAGCGCCAATCCTTCTTATGTATGATCCATTTTTATTTCTGTATTAATCGTTATTCTCCAATCGTGGTCAAGACGTACTCTGTCCTACGGGGCCACATTGTTGATGTCTCTTCGACCTTGCATGTACTCGATTCCAAGGAAGTTAGCAACTTACCCCCTGAGATTATGCAGTCGTAAGTGATGAATCGGCTAGTTATCACAGCATTAATATAATGTTTTATATAGGATCAATATCGAACGAGTCTCTTTTCTCATATTCTTCGGGACGATTCCTATACAACGAACAGGCACGGCTTCGAGAACGATGTGTGAGATTTGATATCTCTGCGCTCGCCAAGGCTGTTGCGAAGCATGTTGATCATGGATGCGTTCAAAGCATTGTCAAGCTTCGTGAGGGAGGGTTCAATCGTGTGCTACTAGCCACTATGGAAGATGGATTCCGGGCCATAATAAAAATCCCCTACTGGATATCGGTTCCCAGGACATACACAACAGCTAGCGAGGTCGCAACTTTGGCATTCCTTCGCTCTAAGAAGATCCCAGTCCCGGAAGTGTATGGCTGGTCTTCGGTCACCGACAATCCAGTCGGTGTAGAGTACATTATCATGGAACATGTCGCTGGTGTCGGTGCTGATACCCGTTGGTTCAATTATTCAAAACAACAAAAGCATGCTTTGGTGACAGGCATCGTTGACATTGAGAAGAAGCTTTTCAGCATCCCATTTGGCGCTCTTGGAAGCCTTTATTCAAAACTGACCTTCCACCCCAACTGCAGGCTCCGCTATATGCAGTGGGCACGCCAGATGAAGCCGGAGACTCCCAGACCTACTGCATCGGACCAACGGCTGATTACATGTTTTGGTATGGACAAAGAGCTAAGCTGGATCTGGATCGAGGGCCGTGTACGATTTCTTTAGTCTGAAGTACTTCAATGTGCGATCATCGAGCTGATCCTTCATCAGGGACCGACCCTAACTACGTGCAATTGCCGAAAAGGAAGTCAAATGGATTGAGGAATACGGGAAGCCTCTTGAAAATGGCTTTCCTCACAACATCGCATTTCCCGGCCTGAAGTCCCCACAGGATTACCTTGAGCTCCTCAAGAAGTACATGACAATAGCACCATATCTCCTCCCACAAGAGCAAGGAAATAGTTTGAGCAAACCCACTTTGCGACATCCTGGTACGTCTATTCCCAGCTCATCGGAGAATGAAGTCCAATGGCTGATGGGTGATGAAGATCTTACCCCTAGCAATGTCTTCATAAGTCCAGATACATTCAAAGTGAGATCCATTATCGATTGGCAACATACAAATATCACACCGTTGCTTCTTACAGCCGGATATCCCAAGCTGTTCGAGAACCCTGACCCAAAGCCCCCCAGCGAGTTGAAACCACCAAAGTACCCTCTGGTCTACGAGACGATGAGCTCTGATGAGCAAGCTCAAGTCGACGAGCTTATACGACGGCAAAGTCTCTTCTACCTCTATCGTGTTTTCAACGGGGGCTTGAACAAGGTACACCTTGAGGCGCTGCGAGATCCTCTCATACTACAACGTCAGCACCTCGTGGACTCTGCAGGTCGTCAGTGGTCTGGAGATATTGTTACTCTACGTGGGGCGCTCATGCGAATGCAAACCCTTTGGTCTTATCTCATCGGCAAGGATCACCAGATCAAATGCCCCATAGATTTCTCAGAATAAGAAGTAAATGACCAGGCTGAAAGTGAGCAAACGTGGTACAATCTAAATATACTTATCAATCAGTAGCGCGACGAACTCGGTGGGCTCTCAGAAGAAGGCTGGCTACCTGCCCAGCGGTATGAGGCTGCTGTGAAAAGGAACAAATCCTTGATGGCCGAATTCTCCGACGGCGCCAGTCCAGATGAGCTAGAAAAAGTGAAACAAGGTTGGCCGTTTCAGGATCACGACGAGCTCTACTGACAATTTGAATATGTGTGTTAACTAGCAGAGGGACACTTGGTGGTTAGTCTGGTGACTGATATATTGGCAGAGGAACCTGTGATCAGCGACACGAATCTACTCAAACTGGGGGTCCCAAACAGTTCTCATAGAAAGCATATCCGATGATATAGCTACTTCTACTATTTGGCACTGCCAGAGATCATACAAAAAAGAAACATCATGATGCAGGATAACACTTACTCTAGAAATATATATTGAGCTACTAATAATAGTACAGCAAAACCAAACACTGGTATTTACTCTATAATTTATACGAGCCATAAATGTCCATTCATACAAGCAACAGACAGCTCAAATCCATATTAACAACTACCAAAATCTAATAGCCAAGTAACACTCAAACAAGTACTCCGTACATCATGAAGCTATACACCCACAATCACGTGACCACAATATACCAGCGGAGCCAACCGTCATGCGGCCACCACATCAACAGATCATCAGCGATCACCGCCGCCGCAACAACCTGTGGCTCAATTTAATTCTACCTCCACCTTCACTCTATTCCCTGGAGCGGTCTCCAACTCGTTGCACCGGTCTATTCATTCTAATAATCTTCTGGAAAAAAGGAAAACCCTTTCCTGGCCCAATTAACCGCCAAACAATTCACCCACACCGATTGAACGAACTTACGTCACCCAAAACACCAACCAGCGAGATCAAATCACCACAACCACCAACGAGTGAAGCTCATATACATATACAGAGAACAAAAAAAAGAAACCGAGGGAAGAAGAAGAAATCATGTCCTCAGCCGAAGAATCCCCCGCTCAACGAGCAGCCCGCCTGCGTCGTGAACGTCGCGAAGCCAAAATCAAAGGCGATGGAGCAGCTCGTCTAGACAAGATTACCAGTTTGAGTGGACGGACTCCTGCTAGTCGTATGTGGCACATTATTCTTTTTCTCTCTTTTTGGTGTCTTAAACAGAAATAAATTTCGAAGCTAACTCAGTATTTGCTATGTACAGTCCGCGAAGAAACCTCTCCCTCTCCCTCTCCATCCCCGGCCACAGCACAACCACAAGCTACCACTACAGCACTGAGTCCTAGCCCGAGCCCGAGCCCGGCCCCCGAACCTCGAATTACACAACCCTCTTTCCCAAGCCAAGGACCCCAGCAGCAGCAAGAGATCGACCCCGAAACCCTCCAAGCGCAACAGGAGCTCTTCCGCGCCCTGCTCCGCCAGTCTGGCCAGCCGGGCGAGTCACCCAGTGGGAGCCCGGGACCTCAAGGAGCAGCAGGACCAGGAGGGATGGGAGGACTAGGTGGTGAAGCGGATGACCCTACCTTGAAACTTCTATCGAGCTTGATGGCTGGGGATACCAGTGCACTAGGCGAGGGTTCTTTGCCTGGAGGTCAGTCGCCAGCGGACTTACTGACGGGGTTGGGAGTTCCGCCGTTTGTGGCGAGTATGTTGGGGGAGGCGACGCGGAAGAAGAGTGATGAGGAGAAGCGGGAGATTCTGGTGTGGAAGGTGCTGCATGTGGTGTTTTCTGTGTTGATTGGGGTGTATTTGTTGGTGTTGATTGGGTCGTCGGTGGCGACGTTTGGGAGTCAGCCGCCGCCGCCGGCGACGGCGAGGAATCCGTTTTTGTTCTTTACGACGGGTGAGGTGGTGCTTACTGGGGCGAGGGTTATGATGAAGAGGGGGGGAGGGGGGTTGGGGTTGTGGGTGCAGTTGGTTAGGGATATTGCCAGGGATGGGAGTATTGTGTTGTTTTTGTTTGGGATGGCGAATTGGTGGCATCGGGAGTGGATGGCTTATTAGATAGGGCGTAGTCCGTAGTGACTAGGGGATTGGGTTTGATTGTGGTTATCTTTCCTCTTTGCGGTTATTATGGCATGGATGTTTCTGCTGTGCTTAGGAATACATTGTGCACTTCTTGCATTTGCATGTGAATTTGCTGGCATAACGTTCGATAGTTTGTTGCTTGCTGGGGTGGTTCTTTTGCCATCGACTAGTATCCTAGGCGGATGCAGTTGCAGTCGCAGCTCCCACGTGCTTGGGTGTAACTGTCCAAAAGTACAATCTAGGGGGTACACTTACGCGCGAGATATATTGGTCTCCCAGTCCGACCCTTTACTATCGTAACGACTCAGTTCTGGCCCGGTTGATTTCTCCTTCGGACTCCGACTGGCTTGTGCGCTGGCTCCCAGAAACGAGGTTGATATTAGCTGTGAAAAGTTGAAAACTTCTCGCGGCGATTACCAATGTCCCACCAAACATGGCCACAGCACAACGCGTACTGATCCATCGGGTGGACTAGGAAATTAATAACGGGCAGGGCCAAGACGTTATTAATTTGCACTTGCAGGGGGCTATTGGGAGTTTGGGACGGACTTTTCCTACCGCCGTGTTTAGTAGATGCAGGACGGGCCAGAAATTCGCCGTTTCTAACCATCCGAGCCCACACCGGTTGGCTACGAGACTAAAGTCTGGCGGCGGGCTCAGACGTCGAAATGGCAAAAGCGGACCGAGAAGCTTAGTGCGGCCGGGACTAAACTATAGCGCAGGCGGGAAAGGCCACGGCCTCTGGGTCCTGGTTGAGAAAGATAGGGCTCAAGCAGGATGGGAATGGGTCTTTCTGAGTGTTGAGAGAAGGCGCATACTCATACTCTCACCGGTTGGGGTACGTAACCTGCTATACATCTCGAATGCAGTATGTATCCAGGCCATAACCAAGCAGGCGATTATACACCTGCAATATCTTGTAGAGATGCCACTCCGTGCAGGGGGCTACCAAGATAACTGATTGACATTGATAAGCGGAAACGGGGGGTATGGTGGGCTTGACACCGTATCGGGAGGCTCCCTAGAGGCTGGGATAAATGAAGTGGCCGAGCCACCAGCGACAATTGAAGACGTTGATTTGCTAACAGATAGAGGGTCTCGATTAGCATGAGGGCTCTGTAGTCGGCAGTGTGGGTAGGGACTAAACGGGACACCCGGGACCCGAACGCACTCACCTTATTACCACACACGGACGCGAAGGAGTAAGGATTGAAGATCTCTTCACGGGAGAGAAGCGACGAAAGGGACGATGTATCCATATTTATGGGCACAAGAGTATGGTTCCCTTGCCGAAACGATGCTTGAAGGTGGACATGTTGGAGGGGCAGAATCGAGGCCTGCAAAAGTTGAACGGAATTCTGCCGGATGGCCTCCACAATATTAATGTTTCTAGTTCTGATGGTGGAAGTTGCTCCGTAATGGCATTATAAACATGAACAAACCGTTCCTCTCGGATCGGTGGTCTAATCCACATCCAATCAAGGCGGCCACACCCACAAAGCTCCCCACAATTGAGGGAACTGTGGTACTTTCGGTCCTTAGTTGTGGTGGGGGGTGGTGTTTGTAGGCTCTCTTAGGGGACTCTTGACTCTGCGCTCGTTGCGACATCAGTCGCGGGGTGATCTTCCCCCCTGGGATGATGTGCCATCGCAGACAATGTTATGTCCATTATTTTATTTTTCTTGAATTTTTGAATATTCGGCTGTCCGAAGAGACAAGATGCAGAGCTTCCAGTTCTCCGTCCAGGAAAGCTGGAGAAACCAAAGCCTAGGTCCGAGAGAAGTCCGCGGGAACGGGGAGAAGGAGCAATGAGCCAGGCAGCGATAGCCGAACCCCCAGCAAGCAGTACCACGGTTATCCCGATTGTCCCTCGACCCGCGCGTCGAGGAAAGTGTTTCGTCCCAGCCCAGCTGATCATCTGTCTTTACCGAGTGGGCAAAAATAGCAGACAATCCCCTTTTCGGCATTGTTGAGAGATGGGCAAGTCACGGGCAGCTTCATTGCCGTAATGGGTCAGTTCTTCCTCGTTAGGGAAAGTACTGCCGTGACGTTCCGTACCCTAGAGTTATTATTATTCCTCTTCTACAGATATTATTACTGAGGGAAAGATTAAATGGATATTGCTACTTTCAGAGCACATGAAAGAAGAAAAAGAAGAATAAAAGACATGAACTAATTCTCTGAAACCACTAATATGCACCTTCCTTCAATGCGTTGATCATCATGTACACAGCCAAGTCAGGTGCAATTGACGGACATCAATACTACTACCTGAGACACTGATATCTACCAATATGGTAGATGAACAAACAATTGGACAATCACTATCCAGCATAGTTTTCGGCTTAAACCGCTACTAAATATACTCATTTATGCTTGTTATCGCGATAACCGGGAGTACCTTTAGAGAATGACCATTCTATCCAGGCCTCGGCTCTGCAAGGCCATCTATTTCCACGTTCTGTTCACCGGCAATATCTCACTAATGCAAGATGACCTTCCATTTACCTATCTCCCTCGTAATTAGTATCTCGAACTACTGCATCTTCCTGGTCAGCCCTTCAGGCACTGGCTGTGGGCCATACAGGGGGGTCCCTAATCCGGTTTCAGTGAAACTTCCGCGAACAGCAGCACATCCATTGATCTAGGCGTCTTATTGGATCGCCCACCGAGGTATCTTAATGGATAATACCTCTAACAACGATGCAGGGGATGCTCACAGCGATCTATCGCTGAGGTGCATGTGGAAGGTGTAGTTAAATGCTGATTAGCTTGACTGCTATCTACTTCACCACCTCAGATTGCTCTCTGGATATCTTGACTGCTCCAGAGTACTCCGTAGATCCGCTCACTCTCTTTTCTCTCATCCACGGTCCCGTTGAATCTTACTATAAGCAGTTCCCTTCAAAAAGCGTAGCTAAGGTTTTGGTTCCCCCGCACGGTTCAAGCCTCGCATCCAGAATGGACACGTTCCAGTGCTGATTGACCCCTCCGATCGGGGTGCTTGGCGAGTGTTCTTGTGATACCATCCCGCCATCCCCCGGAAACCCAAAAGTTTCAACCCCCCGTCTGCGCGTTGAGCGAATCTGGGGCAGAGCTGATGATGATGTTGGTCGGATGAACGCCACAGGATCACGGAGCTAATATTTTCCTGTGCCAATTCGTGCCATGGCGTACCATGGATACGAATGTTCACAGTGCTGTCGGAGGTGACCACCTAGGTTAATAACAGTCGCCTCTGCTGGGAGAATTACCTTAGTTGGTAATTGACGATTGGTCTGCAGTCCAATGATGGACAAGAACCGAAGTAGACTAAGGTCACAATCAACACCTCGCAGACGGGAGCGTCGCAATAGTGTACCGAAGGTGAATAGGTCGGAGTCTCCAGGTAGAGGGGGGTAGGCGAATAACGAGATGATTG